TTATTGGCCTCTTATACCTGCACTTTTTAGAATCCACAATGAAAACATCGACTCTGTGCTTGTCCTTTGAGGAAAGGGCCTTTTTTTTTGGGGATTTTTTTTTTTTGCGCGGCCAAACAAAACGGTCTCCTACTTTAAAAGTGCTTCGAAAATGCATATTTCGATTTTCGTTGACAAGAAAGACGAACAGGTATGTGTGAACGATTTTTTTCAACTTTTTATTACTACAGTTGCAGGGTTGATACGAATGATGATGATTTTGATGATGATGATGGTGATGTATTAATTGTTACGACGAAATAACTACGATTTGTGGTGCATATTGGTATTGCTGCGTTCAGCCTAAAAGATGTTTACAGCTAAGGGATGAAACACAGATTGCATCCAAACATGCCTTCTTGCACATGACATTTAGATTGATCCTTTATTTCCTAATTTATTATTTTATGCAAAAGGATGAGCAACTCCTTCGACTTTGGCGTTCGCTGTCTGGTTTAAAATTCCACATGTCCATATATGCCGAGCAGGACGCCTTTTTGCCCGAAATGCCCTTTCAAAAAAGCATTCTTTCACAGCATCTCGCTTTGTTTTTCTTGTAGTTCCGCCTGAATTTTTGAAGCATTTGTCTGGTTTTGTTTCTCTGGCTGTACAGTGGGACAACTTTTCCATTTGCTTTGACCAACGCTGCATTGTCTGGGGGTCAACTTTCTGGCAGTCCTAACAGTTGTTTCGTCTTTTGTAGAAAATACATCATAGCGATCCTCCCTACAGAAGTGCTTGACAAAAATTTAGCTGTCCGGAGATAATTTTTGGTATTCGTTGAGTATCACTACCCCATGTTCTGAACATCGGCAGTTCGGGAGCACGATACCTTAAAAACTACAAGATTTGCTTAAATATGATATTTTTTGGTGTTTTAGTTTAAGATTTTTTTTCTCCAGGCTTCTGGTTTGCTTTTTAAGACGGATTAGCAGTTCCAGTTGATTTCTTCCTTAATCTTCAATTGGATTTTTACGCCCATTATTGACTTTTTTGCTCCTTTCCCTTCGTACAAAGGCGTTCTAATTGTATGTCTTATTCTGTAAGTCCTACACTTTCACAGAACCCAATATGTACGCCGTTTTCGCGCATTTCTAGCCATTGCTGCTTGGTTTTGGCTGGATTTTTGTAGGATCAAAAAGCAAATGCAATGCTGGTACAGCATGTGTTTATAATCAATCGAGCAGGCAGTCTCATCTATGACTGGGATAGCAAGGACGATTGCGCAACCGTCGAAAAGACATTCAGTTACCCGCTTGATATTGTTCTCGATATTGTCGACCAGAAAGTGACCGTTGTTTTTGGGGAACGTGATGGAATTGGACTGAGGTTATTTTCCAGGCTCTTTGCAGTGTTTTTTTATTCGTAGCATACCTTTTGGATACTTTTTATCGATGATCCCCAGCTATTCAAAAATGCAATACCACTGCA